GTGGTAAAGTGCACGTTAACCCTATGTGTCAAATAGGCCTGTGTCACACAGTGGCAGAAAATGGATACTGAAAGGGAGAGTAAACAAGACAAGACCAGGGTTGGTTTTTATTCACTTTCTTCCATCACTTGCAACCTCTAGCATTTAAGGTCCAGGAACTTTGAATTCAGAGGCTGGACCCTTAACTCCTGTGCTCAATAGCTACTGATGCCCTTTTCCCCCAAGAATTTGTCCAGTCCAATAATCCTAATTCCAGTCCCTATGGAGACTGCCTTGAGACTATGGAGGGGTGCCTCAAACCTGAAAAGGTTGAGAAGCACTAGTCTATCCCAACCGCGCACAGACGGCCCGATAAAAGAATCGCCCACAAGAATTCCTGCCTCTCACAGCAGGCGTGACGGCTCTTGCCGCTATGTATTCCTCTTTGAAGTCGCTGGATCTATCCTGTGCATCACATGTGGGTATTTGCAAGCCTAGTATTGTGTGGCACGGTTAACAAGGATCTCGGGTGCCACGGCCCCCTGCCTGAGAGTCACTGCTATAGAGGGGAGAAAAAAGGAAGTCAAACTGTGGCTGGACAAGTGTGCCCTTTGTGTCTGGCAGTGCTGGAGGGATGCTGCAGCCCTGATGTCCCAGGAAACCTGCCAGAGAGGCGAGGGGCTTTTATGAGTGGTGTCTTAGGAAATGAGGGCTAGAAGGGACCTCAGGAGGTCATCTAGTCCAACCCCTGCTCAAAGCAGGACCATCCCCAACTAGATCATCCCAGCCAAGGCTTTGTCTAGCTGGGTCCTAAAAACATCCAAGGATGGAGAGACCACCGCCTCTGGAAGACCTGTTTTTTTAAAAGAAATGTTTCATGTTCCCAGTCAAATCAAGTCCAAATCCCGGAGTCAGCCCAGAACCATACTGGCCCTACAGCCCGCAAACATCCTCCACCCCACCAGGGGCTGCAGATGTTTCCAAAATCCTTTAGCAGGTGTCCTAGGTGCGGGCCCAAGCGTTTCAGATGCCCCCGACTTTCGCCCCCCCTCAGCCGTGGGGCCGCAGGAGCGAGCTAGGGAGCGGCTCCGTTTGTATCAAGTGGGCTTGAAGCCCCGACGCCGGAGCGGGCACCAGAAGAGCAGATATGCCCAGGAGCGCTTGAGGAACCCTGCCTTCCTGGACGCAGATACACGGCGTTTCCCTGCCAGCCGACCTGCTCCTTTACTGTGCTCCCTTCCTAGCGTGAGCGGGGTTTATTTCCCCCCTAACAGCTTAATCTGCCCTTGCTGCCCCTGGAGACCCCGGCTCCTGCCGCTCGGAGGGAGGGAGCCGGCCACAGACCAGTCTCCAGCCCCTGTGCCCCGGGCTCTCTCCAGGCGGCGCGGGGGCGGGGCAAGGAGCGGCGG